TAATGAGGAGGAAACACAGCTACCAGTAATGTCACTGGTTTCAGGAACAGAAGAATTGTTCCAACACATTTATTTATCAAGCAGAGCAACCCTGTTGAATGCCACTCTGCCGTCTGCTTTATGCGGGAGTCCCACTCAAGCATCGAATCGACACCATACCTACAGTGTACCCTACACCAGTGGTTCCCAACTGGTCGAGCCACAGCATCCAGATTTCTCCTTTATCATTAGTTTAAGGTCCAAACATTTTAATGTATTCAGCGTCCTACTTGTGTTTGGCCACGTCGTCAAGCTAGTTTGCTGCCTCTGTCAAGTAGCTGTTTGTTAGTCACTCACTCTACAGCAGGAAACGGCACTTCAAATTAAAACTCTATGCTGGAAATTCTCTATATTTCAAAATAAAGTTGTTGTTTTTTTTTTTTTTACAAACTTGACACACTTGCTGTCCGTTCAGAATGGACCCTCAACCATTCTCCAGCTGCAAAAATGTGTTAAAATGTGTAGCCTATACACTGAATAAGAAAAATGTTTTACCATTTAGTCAACTGAAATGTTTGTCACACATCTATGGCCGAGCACCTTTTCCTCTAAATTTTGCCAAACCTCAATGGCAATAAATCATCTTGAGTCTCCCTCACTAGGCTAGCTATGGATTCTAAATCCAAAAAAGGAAAAGTCTTGGAGGAAACAGAGTATTTAATAGGGTGTGGACAAGTTTGTTTGCTTTTAACGATGCAAAGTTAAAGTACTGAATAATCATACAGAGCCACTGCAGAGTCGCCACCTGGTGGTAAAACATATTAATGAACGCTGAGCTACCTTCATATAAAGCTCACTTATGTTTTGCAGCTCCAGACAGATTTTTTTTTTTTTGGGAATCATTTTTTGTCAGAAATCGTAATAGTTGCCGACCCCTGGCCTACGCTGTGGCCTGACGTGCACCTTCCCAGAAACCGCATGTTGTGGTGATGCAGACCTTCTGTTTACTTTTCTAAGCTGAAACCATTTCCCTCAGAGGAAACAGCTTTTATTTACTTTTATTTCACAGATAAGAAACAGTAAATTGTGAAGACGATAAAGCCCCTTCAAAACAATAATTTACGTTGTGTGTGTGTGATTTATCCTGGCTTCATTTGAAGAGAGAAAAACTCATTAATTCCCAGGATCTCATCTCCCAGTATTCAACCTGAGTCCTACATTATGAGCCCATTAATAACTTTGCAGATACTCAATCATCTGAGATAGACTACTGGGATTCTGGTTTAGTCCAGGCGACGTCCATTACTCCGAATTTCAACCAGAGCTCTGTACTTTCAACATTCTTCCTCTAACTAAATTGAGTGAGTGCGATGTTCTTCCAGGAGCTGCACAGCAGAGATATGTGGCCTGAGCGTCTTGAGTCAAACCAGAAACCAACAGAGGGCTGTAACTCTGACCAACTCTTCAACATTCGGCTGCTTTATCACTGACTGCTCCTACAGGAGCCAAGTTTTTTTTTCCATCTTGAGTAAACTCAATCAGAATGATGGTTTCCACAAAAATGTTTCCATGATCTCTGAGTGAACTATTGGTTTAAGGTTTCCTGTTGCTCAGTCAGAGGAGTTCAGACCAGATTCAGCTTTGCAAACGCTTTCATTCCTCCTGTAGATGTTAAACAGGAGAGGAAAGAAGAAGCCAGAGCAGCTTCCATGTCAAGTGACAGTTCAGTTTACCCCAAACCAAATAAATATATATAGCTTTGGCTTTATTTGTCCAGGTTTTCAGATATATATCTCTGAGATTCTGCCTCAAACGTACCACTGAGCACACACTAGGGCTGCGCCCCCCCGACTAAGGATTATCCTAGTCGACCACTAGTCATCATTACGGTCCATTAGTCGACAAGTCATCTGCATGTTTCTGATATGATTGTAAAGATTAAATGATATATTTTGGTGGTTTGAGTTGAAGGTGTGAGAAAGAATAGTATCAGTAACATTGTTAACACTGTGCTACATTACAGAGAAATACAAAACCGCACTAATGAACCTTCATTAATATAGGCCTATATTTTATCTCCAAGTGCACGTCACACACTGAGCGAGCCGCCTGTTAATGGCGCTGTGGGCTAATGGGCATGTAGCTACTTCCATGTTTCAGATGATACGNTGATATATTTTGGTGGTTTGAGTTGAAGGTGTGAGAAAGAATAGTATCAGTAACATTGTTAACACTGTGCTACATTACAGAGAAATACAAAACCGCACTAATGAACCTTCATTAATATAGGTCTATATTTTATCTACAAGTGCACGTCACACACTGAGCGAGCCGCCTGTTAATGGCGCTGTGGGCTAATGGGCATGTAGCTACTTCCATGTTTCAGATGATACTTCATGTTTGTAGTCGACCAATGAAGATGAGTTTACATATCACCTTGGGTTCGTCCTTCACCTTCTCAAAATGATCCCACACTTTGGATTTCCTGCCCGACATGTTATTAATTAGCCTGTGGAATAACCGCAGGTACCAGCCCTGGAAATTAACCTGACTCCTGTCTGACTGCTGAGCATGGACACTTCCTGTGTCTGTCCTTTCAAATTAAAGTCACACATGGTCCAGTCTTATAGGTTTGGATTTATTTTGACAAGATGCAGCTCAAAAGAGTTTCACTTGTTTGTTCTGCGACTAAGCAGTTGAGCAATAATAAATCTTACCCACTAATAACTTTTCTGGTCAACTGACGTTCGGTCGACTATTACGGGGCAGCCCTGGCACACACTGCTGTGATGTTGAGAGGTTCTGCAGACATAAGTCAAGTTTACACAACACAATTTTAACCCTGATCTTCCACTCACTAACAGCTCTTGGAGATCGTCGACAAAAGCCACAGATGAGATGAGAGGTGTGTGAATTTTCAAGACACAGTCGGAGAGATGTGCCGATGTGTTGCATACACATGCAGATAATAAAAATATGTGAGCCTATCTGAAGTTTGCTTTGACCAGCACTGACAGCAGCTACGACGTAAAGCCAATGAGAGCACAAGATACGAGGCCAGGGACATATTGGCAGGAGTTTTTTTTCTGTCTTGGTTTTGCACTGCAAATCAGCAAACAAACAACTTAGGATGTAGCTTTTTGCGGACATCCATTTTTAGAGGACAGAACTCCTGTCTCAGATGTATTCTTGCGTCTTTTCCCAAGAAACTTCTCGCGTGTTTTGTCATCCAATTTGGTGGGAATTCCTCACGTAAAGTGTAACTTTACACCCCTAAAAAAATCTTGCTTTTACTGACTTCTGGTGGTTAACGTCTCATCTCAGAGATGTACAGGTGTACATCACTGGTGGGTGTGGTTACAGGTGAAACAAAGACAGAGTTACTGTTCGATATTAGGAAGGAAAACACTGCCTCTGTGTTTAATATAAGTCTGTTGAACTACGAACACTCAGCTGTGGTGTAGCAACACTACATCAGTGTTGCACAGGGAGCGTAAAAACTCACCATGAGTCAGCACTCTTTTTGTCAGTTGGGAAAAGTGAACTAACTTTTCTCTCATATTCTAACTGACCTGTATTAAAGCTACATCTGTCTCGGCTGCTTTCTGTCCCGTCTCTTCTTTTTTTTTTCTTCCTTTCCTTCCCCCTTTACATTTAAGTCTTTCACCCTTTTTTCTCTTTTAATCTAAAGAAACACAGACATAAAAGGTAGGATTGCTGCTGTAATCTGCCGGCTGTGCTGTAAATTAATTGTTTAGTTGATTAGTTGTTAGTTAATTGTCAGAACTGCCGTCACAGTTTCCTAAAGACAAATAAAATAAATAAATAAATAAATAAATGCAGAAAAACAAACCCTCACACTGGGAAGCTGGACCTGAGAATATTTGGTGTTTTTTGAAAAAAAAGAAAAAAATACAAAACCCCAAAAAATCTATTTTCATAATGTGCCGATTTTATTTTATTGATTTGTGTCTTCAGCTCATTAAATCTGGATGATGATGATATTTCAGAGGCTGTGCGACAGTGACAGCTGCCAATTAAACTATTTAATTTGTCCATTAGTTAGTGAGAACTTTATTATCTTTACCCTCTGAAACCACTTTGAAGTCTTCTTACCATAAAATATATTTTTTTATGATTATGTTCATCAAAGTTTTGAATTTAAAAAAAAAAAAAAAATATCATCAGTAGCTGGTCTTTGTCCTAATCACTCTACTGTTTAGGTTAATTTAATTAGTTCTTAAAATAATTTAGGGCTGCACCTGAAGATTACCTTTATTATCCAAGAATCTGCATTAGTATTTTTGTGTGTAGTCAATTCATTTGTTCAAATTATTAAAAAATATTACATATGCTCATCATAATTTCCAATAATTTCAAATTTTAAAAAAAACTTTTTTTTTTTCCAAAAAAATAAAATAAAAATACAAATATTCACAAATGAGAGGCTGAAGCCTGAGGTGTTGTCTTTTTTGCAAAAAATAAAATTAAAAATAAAAATACATAAATTTTTGATGATAATTCATTTTCTCATTAACTGAATAATAAATTAATCAATTAATTATTTCAGCCCCAAAATAATAATAAGACCTTTAATTGGTCACGAGTCACGACTTTTTTTTAAACATAAAATTCCCGTATTAAGCATTTTTTTCTTTTTAAAAAATCACAAATATGTAATTAATTTAACGATTTAAAAAGACAATTTGCCAGCAAAAACAAAACAAAAACAAAAACAATAAATGACTAAAAAACCTACATGAATAAATAAATAAATGTAAATTGTTTGACCAAAAAGATCCTGAAAAAGTGTAATATGAACTTCGTGCTAAACACTGTGCCCAGAGGAGAACTGGTAAATACATAAATATAAAATAAAATGACAACATGAACTGTGATAAAGTGTAAAAAGTGTGAGCTGAACTTTGTGTGTCTGCACAGGAGCCACTCCGTCAGTTAATTAAGCCCTGGGTCCATTAAAGAATTAATTGTGGGTGTAATCAGTAATTAGTGTAACTCACCCAGCAGCCCTTCAAACTGCTCGATGGCCAGCACCGCGTTATCCTGCGTGCTGTGGTGGAGGTGGTTCGGCATCTTGGTCATGTTCCACGGCATGGACCGGCACAGCGGGATCCGCACCGACTCACAGGACGCTGCCCGGACCGCAGCCGGCCACAGGGCGCAGGACACGGCCAGCAGAGACACGGAGAGTCCCGGGGACAGCATGACGGTGGTCGGTTCACAGAGGGGACACTGTCGGTGCTCCGGTGAAGTGTCGGTCACTCACGGATAGTTAAATCCAAAGAAGGACGTGATTTTCCTGCTGATTGGAGCTTTGCTGCTGCTGCTGCTGCTGCTGCTGCTGTCCGGTCTGCGGGCAGCTCGAGGAAGCGGGAGGAGCTGCTTTATTCAGGCTTTCACCTCCTCCTCTTCCTCTATCCCTCCTTCTCTACGACTCCCCTCCTCTGCTCCCTTCACCTCTCCTCTTCTTCTTCTTTCCTCTTCCCTCCCTCTCCTCCTCATCTCTTATCCTCCATGCTAAAAGACAGATTCCTTTTAGATGAAAAGTCAACACCAGTAAATCCGTTAAAAGCTCATAGATGTGTGTATCATTACAGCTCATGGAATCAGTGGTCACATCATTTACTGAGGTAAAAGTACTGCAGCTCATAAAGTATCCAAAGTAAAAGTACTGCAGCTCATAAAGTATCCAAAGTAAAAGTACTGCAGCTCATAAAGTATCCAAAGTAAAAGTACTGCAGCTCATTAAGTATCAAAAGTAAAAGTACTGCAGCTCATAAAGTATCCAAAGTAAAAGTACTGCAGCTCATTAAGTATCAAAAGTAAAAGTACTGCAGCTCATAAAGTATCCAAAGTAAAAGTACTGCAGCTCATTAAGTATCAAAAGTAAAAGTACTGCAGCTCATAAAGTATCCAAAGTAAAAGTACTGCAGCTCATTAAGTATCAAAAGTAAAAGTACTGCAGCTCATAAAGTATCCAAAGTAAAAGTACTGCAGCTCATTAAGTATCAAAAGTAAAAGTACTGCAGCTCATAAAGTATCCAAAGTAAAAGTACTGCAGCTCATTAAGTATCAAAAGTAAAAGTACTGCAGCTCATAAAGTATCCAAAGTAAAAGTACTGCAGCTCATTAAGTATCAAAAGTAAAAGTACTGCAGCTCATAAAGTATCCAAAGTAAAAGTACCGCAGCTCATAAAGTATCAAAAGTAAAAGTACTGCAGCTCATAAAGTATCCAAAGTAAAAGTACCGCAGCTCATAAAGTATCCAAAGTAAAAGTACCGCAGCTCATAAAGTATCAAAAGTAAAAGTACCGCAGCTCATAAAGTATCCAAAGTAAAAGTACCGCAGCTCATAAAGTATCAAAAGTAAAAGTACTGCAGCTCATAAAGTATCCAAAGTAAAAGTACTGCAGCTCATGTACCTCAAGTATCTAAAGGAAAAGTACTGTAGCTCATAAAGTATCTAAAGGAAAAGTACTGCAGCTCATAAAGTATCAAAAGTAAAAGTACTGCAGCCCATAAAGTATCAAAAGTAAAAGTACTGCAGCTCATAAAATATCTAAAGTAAAAGTACTGCAGCCCATAAAGTATCTAAAGAAAAAGTACTACAGCTCAAAAAAGTATCTAGAGTAAAAGTACTGCAGCTCATAAAGTATCAAAAGTAAAAGTACTGCAGCTCATAAAATATCAAAA